AATTATCATGTCATTGTTATGCAAGCATTGCTAGCATTTCTTTTTGAATCAAAAACTTAGAAATAACATAATTTAGCATGTTGAACAGATTTACTTCGGCCAAGTATCGTTTTAAAAGATACTTCTTGTTTCCACTGTATTGTCTGGTTCAGATGTATAATCAATTACACAAGTGACTCAGCGACATTTCTATAAATATCCTTCGGATTACATCGTTATCGTTCAATTAATAAATTATTGATAAAAATAGAATGGCAGTAATATTTTAGGCATCCTTAACATTTTTCATTATCAGTATTATTATAGCTTTTAATGCCACTTTAATAAGTATTTTAATAATAAATTCATTTTTAGACATAGAGAGAAAAATATTGTTCAACACATTTTTTTTTCCTTTCTTTATATTCAAATTTAATATAACGCTTCCTCGCCCCTGAAAAGAAAGATATTATGATTATTTTTATTTGATAGATAAACAACTCGAGCATCGAAATCGATGCAAAACTATCGATAGCTGCCGATGAAAGACCTATTCAAGAAAATATCCGCCAATTTGGAATCCTTCTACGAAAACTTGTTTTAAAATGTGAAAAAAGATTTGAAATAATGTGTGAGACGTAAAGGATAGCAAAGCAAGCGGTTGTTACTTTATTACAAATTAAGTAACGTATTTTTTATTTATTACTTTTTTTAGAGAATTTAGTTCGTTACTTTGTTACAAATTCAGTAACTCATTTCGCAATCACTATTTCGTTACAAATTCGTAATTTATTTTGCACTTGTAATTTAATCACAAATTTAGTAACATTTTTAATTTGTTATTTTGTTACAAATTTTAATTAGTAACATATTTTGACTACGATATTTTGTTACTAATTTAGTACATGTAAAATATTTTGTATTCTTTATTTTCCATTTGTTACTTTATAAGAAAGTTTGTTACATATTTGCAATTGTTATTTTGTAACAAATTTAGTAACGTATTTTTCATTCGCTACTTCGTTATAAATTTTGTGACATATTTTGCATTCGATATTTTGTAACTAATTTAATATATTTGCAATCGTTATTTTATTACAAATTTAATTAAGTAACATTATATATGCATTGTTCTACAGATAATGGGAAAGAAATTATTATGTATAATCATATTATTATTTTATTGTATAATTATATTATAATTATCATAACAGAAACATTACCATTTGTCCGTTTAAACATGTAAGTGCTGCTGTGTATTTATGAACATCGTGCTAATCCACAAACATCGTGGTAACCTACAATACAAATTCGCTTTATACAAATGTTTACAGCTGCATGTTTCCAGATGAGCCAAAAAAATTCAAGAAAATAAAACTCGAAAAAAATGTTCTATGATTTTAAGAAAAGTAAAGATATTCACAATTTCAGACATAATTTACATTATATGCTATCATGGCTGATTTTTCAGTATTCGTCATAATATTTTCTTCTATTGCGTAGTTAATGCAGTAAAGATTATGATCTATTGTTTGGTAATTTTCATATATTTTAAGGGTCATTTGCAATGTGTTTATTTCTTTCTTTGTTCATTTGACAATATTTTACTTTTTGATATTTTTTAAAAAAAAAATCATGAAAATTAGCATGAATTGGGAGACATGCTGCTTAAATGAACTAAAAGTGGTATTTTTTTATATTTTCTAAAACATGTCAACCGCTTCTTCTTCGTCTTCCGTTTCTTTACACATATTTGTATATGTTCAATAAATGTTCACGGTGTTGTCGATACATGTATTTAATAGTGTAAAATAATGATTGTTTAATGTTTTAAAGTGTTCTGTTCTTAACTTAAATTATGATGATATTAACTCATTTAATATGTTTCAATTGACATTGTTAAAAAGAAATACAAATGTTATGTCGAGTATTTATAAAATCACTTTTTATGTCACTTAACGTTATCATGGTGTTATCAAATTTTAATTATTTATTTCAAATTGATAACCAATTTTGACTAGATAATAACAAAATATGATTTATTCACATTTTACATTTACTTATGAAATACAATGTTCAATGTTGTTTCCATAAACTTTGTTGAAGATATTTCACATACATTTATTTATGCATTTATAATCATTTTGTTTAAATGACATGTTATTATCAGTGTTGTTACTGTAATGTCTCAAGGAGGGGAGAGGTGGCTTTGTAGGTCAAGATCTACTTCTCGCAACCTAGGAATCATGGAATCGAATTTTACTCCAGTCTTAAAATAACTAGTACGATCAAGAAGGCGGAATCAAGAGTGATTTAAACAAGACCCAAGCTTTTATTACACTATAGTTCAAAAATTAAATATGTTGTTATATTTTGCAATTTAACATTAGTTAAAGTTACATGCCTCCAGATGAGCCAAAAAATCAAGAAAATTAAATTTGAGAAATAAAGACCTAAGACTTTAACGAAAGTAAAAATAAAATTCAAGTATTATTTGACAGGTTATACGCGATTAAGGACTGGTTTGCACCAGCGTTTCTTACGTTTCTACTCCGTTACTTACGCAGCAAGGGCTATTTTGCTTTTTACCTGTTTTTGGTAATTTTCATGGACTGGAAGTGCAGTTTGCAATATGTTAATAATTTTCTTTTTTTCACTTCATAATGGTTGTCTTTTAAATTCGTTTTTAAATTTTTTATGAAAATTACCTTGAATTTGGGGGTATGTTGTTTTAAATTATTAAAGTGCTTGCACGTAGTTTTAAACAATAAAAGTATACTATTAATTAACTTGTTGTTTGTATCAGAATATCAATATTTTAATGAAAGATTAGTATGTCATTTGTAACTATATCGAGATGAATATGTTTGTTATATTGTTCCTACACTCAGCAACATTTTCCCGGATTTCAACATTGTGCGGAACGTTCACGCATTTCTGCGACGATAGATTCGCACCCTGACGACAGCATGACTTACTTTAAAGCGAGATTTGTCGCTGAAAATAACCCGACTCCGCTGGTTGCGTGTCCAGCGTAAGTGACAGTGTGCCAAGGTCAACCTGGCGACCCTTTGGCGGGGTATCAGTATATGACCAGTATATGGTTTGCGCGCACGAATTTGAATCTGGGATTGCATATAAAATTTTGATAGTTTAGGCACTGACACGTAGCTACCGAGCAGTAGCTGTAACAGGCAAAACCGGTTGCAAAGGTGATTCTGCTTAATGACCTGTCGCCTCTTAATTACGTCACACGAGGTGCACCAGATCTCGGACGATCATGAACGAATACAGTACTACCAAACCGTGTATTAAGATTATGAATAGTTTGCCTAAAACAGACAAAATGTTGTGTAGCATCCATTACCCTAGCACCCGCTAGCAGCACCCAAATAACCTGATTATGTTGATTTTCAGAAGTTTTTAGAACGTGGACTAATTCCTCTAATTTTCCTTGCATGAGATCTCTTAGACTTGGAGCCTTATATAGCTGTGAAGAAGATTCCCTTAACTAATAAAATCTACTAGATTCTTTTTAAGTACGTAGCGTTCATTTTGTAATGGCTATGTGTACATGAGATCAAATGGTTTTTAAACAGTAGGCTCGTGAAAATAATGTTTTTCCCGAAATATATAGGGAAAGACCAATCACCGGTCCAAAAATGGACAATGCTACGCGAAAATTTTCTAGACATTGTACTTGGGTTAGGGCTTCGGGCTTCATAATGTACAAAGAAAATACTTCACTGATGTACAAAATCGAATTTGCAACGGAATTGGTCAAATAGTTTGTGAATGGTAGGCTCGAGAAAATGGTGGTTATTTTTTTCGAAATTTTAAGCACTTTATATACAGAAAGAACAAGTCACCGGTCCAAAAAATGACCATGCAACGCGGAAATCTCATAGAGGTACTGCTTTGATGAGAGTTTTAGGCTTTATTATGTGCAACGTAAACCCTCAAAAGATGTACAGAAACGAATTTGCAATGGAATTGCTCATAAGGTTTTGGAACGGTAGGCTCGTGAAAATGATGTATTTCCTGGAATTTATATAGAGAAAGAACAAATTTCCTGGTCCAAAAATGACCAAGCCATGCGAAAATCTCCTTGGCGTATTGCTTAAGTTAGGGCTTTAGGCCTTATAATGTGCAAAGAAGACCCTTCAAAGTTGCAACGGAATTAGTCTAATGGTTTTTCAACAGTTACCAGGAGGAAATGATGCGGTTTTTACGAAATTCTTAATACTTTTTATGATTAAAGAACGAATCGCAGGTCCAAACAACGGCCATTGAATGCGGACCACTTGCTCTTATTTTCCTTGCGTTAGATCTCTGAGTCATTGAGTCTTATATAGCCGTGAAGAAGATCATCTTAACGAATACATTCTCCTAGACTTTTTAAGTACTTAGCGTTCATTTTATAATGGCTAACTATACATGAGATCAACTTTGGTCATTTTTAGGACCGGTGATTTTTTCATTCTTTATATAAATTACGGGATAAAAATCATTTTCACGAGCATACCGTTCAAAAAACCATTTGATCAATTCCAATGCAAATTCCATTTTATACATCTTGAGAGGCCGTCTGTGCACATGAAAAGTCTTAAAGCCCTAATCCAAGTAATATGTCCAGGAGATTTCCGCATAGCTTGCTCATTTTTTGCACAGTTCTATATGCAAATTTCGGAAAGAACAACATATTCACGAGCCTACTATTCTAAAACAATTTGACCATTTCCGTGCAAATTTTATTTTGTACAACTTGAGAGGGCCTTCTTTAAAAAGGCTTAGAGCCAAGGAAAATGTCCAGGAGATTTCCACATGGCTTAATCATGTCTTGCACCTGCGATTTGTTCTTTCTCTATGTAAATGTCGGGAAAACCATCATTTTCACGAGTCTACGATTCAAAAACCATTTGATTAATTCCATTGCAATTTGATTTTGTACATTTTGAGAGAGTTTCTTTGCACATGAAAATGCTCAAAGCCCAAGAAATATGTCCGGCAGTTTTCCGCATGACTTTGTCATTTTTATGTAAATTTCGGGAAAAACATTATATTCAAGAGACTAACATTCAAAAACTATTTCATCAATTTTGTTGCAAATTTGATTTTGTACAACTTCTGAGGATCTTCTTTGAACCTTGTAAGGCCTAAAGCCCTAACCCAAGTTATATGTACAGGATATTTCCGCGTGGCTTGGTCATTTTTTGCACAGGCGATTTAATATTTCTCTCTATAAATTTCGGAAAAAACATCAATTTTACGAACCTACCGTTCAAAAGCCATTTAATCAATTCCAATGCCAATTCAATTTTGTACAACTTGAGAGGGTCTTCTTAACACATGAAAAGGCTTACCAACCAAACCCAAAAAATATGTTTTCAGGATATTTCCGCATGGCTTGGTCATTTCTTGCACCGGCAATGAGTTTTTTCTGTATATAAATTTCGGAAAAAACATCATAATCACGAGCCTACCATTCAAAAACCATTTGATCAGTTCCAATGCAAATTAAATTTTGTACAACATTGGAGGGTATTTTTTGCACATGAAAAGACCCAAAGAACATGTCCAGGAGATTTCCGCATGGCTTGGTCGTTATTTTGCACCTGTGGTTTGTTCTTTCTCTATGTAAATTTTTGGAAAAACTTCATATTCACGAACCTACCATTTAAAAACCATTTGATCAATTCCATTGCAAATTCTATTTCGTACATATTGAGACAGTTTTCTTTGTACATGAAAAGGCTTAAAGCCCTAACACAGGGAACACATCCAGGAGATTTCCGCATGTCTTTGTCATTTTTACGTAATTTTCGAGAAAAGCACCATACTTACGAGCCTATTGTTCAAAAACCATTTGATCAATTCCGATGAAAATTTGATTTTGTACAACTTGAGGGGGTCTTCATTGCACATGAAAAGGCTTAAAGACTTAACCCAGGTAATATGTCCAGGAGATTTCCGCATGGCTTGGTCATTTTTTACACGGGCGATGTGTTTTTCTCTATGAAAATTTCGGGAAAAAAAATCATATTCACGAGACTACCATTCAAAAACCATTTGATCAATTCAGTTGAAATCTTAATTTTGTACAACTTGAGAGGGTATTCTTTGCACATGAAAAGGCTTTAAGCCCTAACCCAAGGAACATGTCAAGTACATTTCCGCGTGTCTAAGTAATTTTGCACCGGCGATGGGTTTATTCCCTATTTCAATTTCAGAAAAAAATCATCATATTCCCGAGCCTACCATTAAAAAAACCATTTGATCAATTCAGTTGAAAATTTAATTTTGTACAACTTGAGAGGGTCTTCTTTGCACATGAAAAGGCTTAACTTGAGAGGGTCTTCTTTGCACATGAAAAGGCTAAAAGCCCTAACCCAAGGAACATGTCTAGGAGGTTTCCGCATGGCTTTGTCATTTTTATGTAAATTTCGGGAAAAACATCAATTCACGAGCCTACCATTCAAAAACCATTTGTTCAATTCCGTTGTAAATTTAATTTTGTACAACTTGAGAGGGTATTTTTTGCACATGAAAAGGCTTAAAGCCCTAACCCAAGGAATATGTCCAGGAGATTTCCGCATGGCTTGGTCATTTTCCGACGATTTGCTCTTCCTTTATTGAAAGTGTATAAATCTTCGGGAAAAGACTCATTATTTCGAGCCAACCGTTCATACAGTGGTCTTATGACTTCATATAAATGTAAATCAATGCTTCTGTGTGTGACAAACACGCGCTTGAGAAAGCTCGATCTTGCAGGAATTTACCTCATGTACAGTAAGCCATTACAAAATGAACGCTACGTACTTAAAAAAACAACAAAAAACAATCTAGTAGATTCTATTAGATAAGAGGATCTTCTTCACTGCTATATAAGACTTAAAGGCACAGAGATTTACTTCATAGAAAATAAGAGCAACTAATCGACGTTCAAAAGCCACTATTAGCACCTGCGACTTGTTCTTTATTTATATAAATTCTTAAGAAATTTCGTAAAAACGGCATCATTTTCTCGTGTCAACTGCTGAAAAGCCAGTTTTCCGCGTGGCTTGGTCATTTTTTGCACCGGTGATTTGTTCTTTCTCTCTATAAATTTCGAAAAAAACATCAATTTTACGAGCCCACCGTGGAAAAGCCATTTAAACAATTCCAATGCAAATTCAATTTTGTACAATTTGAGAGAGTCTTCTTTGCACATGAAATGACCTTAAGCCCTAACCCAGGTAATATGTCCAGGAGATTTCGGCTTGGATTTGTCATTTTTTGCACCGGCAATGTGTTTTTTCTCTATGTAAATTTCGGAAAAGAAACATCGTATTCACGAGCATACCATTCAAAAACCATTTGATCAATTCAGTTTAAAACTCAATTCTGTATCACTTGATAGGATCTTCTTTTCAAATGAAAAGGCCCAAGGAACATGTCCAGGAGATTTCCGCGTGGCTTGGTCATTTTTTGCACCAGCGATTTGTTCTTTCTCTATATAAATTTCGGAAAAAACCTAGTTTACGAGCCTGCCGTTCAAAAGCCATTTAATCAATTAAATGCAAATTCAAATTTGTACAACATGAGAGGGTCTTCTTTGCACATTAAAAGGTATAATGCCCTTATCCAGGTAATATGTCCAGGAGATTTCCTCGTGGCTTGGTCATTTTTTTGCACCGGCGATGTGTTTTCTCTCTATTTCAATTTCGGAAAAACCCATCATATTCACGAGCCTACCATTCAAAAACCATAAGAAATAGATAGATAGATTTATTTCGGCATAGGAAGCGTAAAGATAGTTTACAACATAACATAGGATAGAATAATGAGCATTTATTATTAAATACTATATCACATACGAGAAAACTATGACATGCTCACCAACACCAAGGATAACACAAAAAAAGGCAAAAAAGCTCTTATTTCCATTTTGGTCCTTTGTATTGGCGGCATAACATAGAGGGGCAGACCTGAATATAATCATGTTTAAAAATACTAATAAAGTTATAAAAAATGTATATCACAGTCAAATCTTGT